GTATCATCACCAAATTCCAAACCAATATCAATCAATAGGCGATCATCAGCCTCTATTAACTTTGGCTAATAATATAAATAATACATTTGAAAAATAAAAATAAAAATTTTAATTATCTAAATAGCGATAAATACCTTATCATTCATCTTGGTTTCTGATTTGAAGGAACTAAATGTAAGGTAAAAAGAATTGGCGTCTAAATCATAATACTGTGCAACAATTTGGATAAATTGACGAACAGTCTTATTCTTTTCAATAGAAAATTTGAAATCATTATTGTCAGTAAGTTTGTCATGAGGATTACTGAATTTGCGCACCAGGCATTTTGCCTGATCATCGCTTTCTGATTCTTCAAGAGCACTGACCATTATCTAAATTAATTTTAAAAAGAATATTTTTTGCATTTGAAAGTATTAAAAATTATATAACATTACAAAATCCATTTTTATTTTTTAAATTATCCATAAAAATTAGGTACTCACGTTAAAACATATGTTAACTATCTAAAAATGAAAACAATTTGAATATCTTAAGGCTGTCAAATCAAATTATATTTCCTTACATGTTTCTGTAAAAGTATAAAATATAAAATTGATATCAAATTACAGTGTTTTGAAATAAATTAAATATATCAAAAATTTTTAAAACTGTTTCAATTATAATAGCCAACTGCTTAACTGAATGTTAAAATGCTTCCCACCACTACCACTATTTTTATCTTATTTCTGATTGGTGAAATTGTTTGATGTTGAAAATATAATAAATGACTCATTATAGCAAACTTATATTTTAAAATTCAAAATAAAACAATTGTAACTTTGATAGCGTACAATTTTTATAGGTACCATCCAGATTACAATATTATTAAAAAATTAGAAAAAAAAAAACTAAAAGTTAAATAATTTGTTAAATTTAAATAATACAATATTTTTTAATGTATAACAAATATATGATGAAATGTAGTAAAAGATTTTTTGGTTGAATTAGGATTTCATGTAAGTTCACTATAGCAAACACATACAATAATTGTTGGAAGTATAGTCTGATTTATTTCTAGGCATTTGTCACAATGCCAAGTCTCAGAGGCAGCTAGTGACGTATTATAGGGTCAGAAGAAATGTCAAAATTAGACTGATCCTACTTCCACTCTCGCAAATTATACATATGTTTTTTTTCCTACAATATGCTAATGATAAGTTGTAACTCTTGTGTGACTTTTTATTTTTAGATTTATAATTCTGTTTATGCGAAAAAAACAAATTGGAAAAAATTGTGAAAACAATTTATGATTTAACTATAAATGGATATCAGAGTAGAATTCAAGGGTAAATTGAGATATCACTACTTGTTTATTTAATTAGTAGATAAAAAAAAGTTTCTGTATAAATTGTAAGAAACTATGGTACTCAAGGTAACCACTTTACAAATTACAAATTTTACAAATTAGGCTTCATGATTATTTATTTATGATAATTACTTATTACATACAATAATTTTTGTATCTTTATTATTGTATTTGATGATACAATAATGTTAAAAATTATTATAAAAACCAAAGAGGTACCTACCAAAAAATTGAAAAATCAAAGTTTAAAATTTATGTTTTGCAATTATACATCTAAATTCATTACTTTGCACTAAAAATACACAACAATTAACAAGATTTGGGCTTAACTAACTTTTTATAAAATATTTTCAAGACAGTAATATTATAGCCTTTTGTCCTTTTATACTTTCATACCTAATATTTAAAATGTTTAACTAACCAATATTGCTTTATATGAATGTTTTATTAATTTGAATGCAATTTGTTCATCTCAGCATAAAATATCAGTAGGTACTTATCATTCAACAGTAAAATTACAAATCAATAAGATTTAAAATACAAGTTCAAACAATCGAGTAAATTGATTAAAATATTTAAACAAAATACAAATGTGGGGAACTATTGTGTTCTACTATTCTAGACAAGATCTGAAATAGAAAGTGAGGAGAAAAAAGATATTCCGTAAAATTACAATTGTTTTTGTGTCAACTAAAACAGTAATTTACATATATCATGAATGTTGTTATATTTTACACAATATAAAATGACCAACCGTTTAACTCGACCACGATGGAATGATAACTAATGCACGCTCTAATAGTATAAATATTAAATACTTACCGCTTCTTTTAAGTATGAAATATAATGGAAAACTTAGTAAGATTAATTGCACTATATAAATTGTAACGTTTAACACCGGACTGGATGCAAGACGATCCTATACAGAATTTAATTCCGGGGTACAAATTTGTATATCAAAAACGATACACAATTCATATAGTAGTAGGTATTCTAAACAAAAAAATATTCTATAGGGTCTAAAGCGTTTGCATTTCCCTCGTTATCAAAATCACAACTATAACTACCTACTACTAAGACTATATCGACCAGTCGTAGATGACCTTCACGTGAAAATTATGGAAGAACGATGACGTTTTTGATTTTTCCATGAAATTCATGTTTTGGTTTTGAAAACCTATCGATAGGTTCAAATTATAGTGATATGGTGAACAATTTGAAAAATCTAACTGAGAGTAAATACGGTTGTAATTCGTTTTATTTATTTAAAAAAAATAGGTTTTCTTAATTTTATCGGACGAACACACGAATTAAGATCCGCGGATTGATCATAAACACTATTTACGCATTTTCAATGGACCATATCATGCTAATTTTTAATAAGTACCTATAATATTAGTATAAAACTATTTTTTATTCAATTTAAATTTACATAAATAATTTTTTATTTATTCGTTCATCGATTCAAAATGAGTAAAACTACTCCACAATATTGTACGATGTTGAAAATTGAAACAATTAGGTACCTATACTTACCGTGAAAACATTGTAGTCTGTAGTTATTAAATATTAGTTAAATTTCTATTAATTTGACTAATAAAACGGCCTCTGAAAATTTTTTTTTTATTAGTGTAAAACCATTATAAGCAGATAAAAATGGTCTACAAACGTGGCTATCAATAATAAGTCGACAATAAAGGTCGCCGTTGTATTGAAAAGTAGTGCAATAGAGTCCTAGGCATAAAGGTAGTCCCTGATGTTCGTTTGTGAACTCTTAACATAATTGCAAGCGCAGCAAGAAATGTATTGGTTTATTGGAGATGGTTTTTTCTGTGTCTATGAACAATTTCTGAGCAGTCGCTTCAATCAAAAGCTTTTCTAATAATGAGTGTAGATATACATGTTTACAATACAATTCTTCATTGTATATTACTTTTAATTAATACTTCTTTAAATAAATACGATTTTATTAGCCATGGTTGCGATTAGACACGAGGCTGTTAAAAAGCTTAGTACGAGTTCACAGTTTTAACCGATTAAGAACCGGTCTTTCATTTTGAATCTAGTTAATGCATTGGCAAGGGAATTTTTTGATTTTGATTTTAGTTTTCATAAACACTGTAAAAAAACGTACAAAATCTAACTTGTAGGTAAGTTAGTGAAAAGTAACCACAAAGATAGACAATTTTCATAGAATAGTCATATTAGAATTTTTCTAAACGCGGTAAAATTATTCAACTATTATGGCGATATTCAGACATTTGACATTTTGAAGATTTTTTAATGAGATTGTACTAAGTGATAAAAATGTTGTGGTTAAATAATGTATCTTAATCTTTTATAAGGATTTAAAATACAAATTTTAATGGAAATCGTAAAATTATGGCATTTTAAAACATATTTAACCTAACATTGATCAAAATCTCATTTTGTAACCAATGATTTATCATTGTGTACAGATATAATTTAAATAACTGTATTCTACTTACCTTTTTTTTTTTCAATATATTGAGATCCCAATGATTGAATTTTAGAATCTGAGTGAAGCCGAGGAATATATTGATGTGATGATTTTTTGTCTATGAACAAGTTTTCGAAGAAGATCGAATAGATTTGTTTTTTCATTGGGAAGGCCATTTTTGGGAATTACTAGTATTTTTTTTTAACTATAAATAGTGGGGAAAATCTGATGAAAATATTTTAGCACTTCTGAGTACTTAGATGTATAAATTTTCTTTTAATCCATAAAAAAAAAAGCTTGCACCTAATCAGGCGCATACTGAGTCCTATTTTTATGCCGGGAAACTATTGAATAGGACCTAATTATAAACATTCATTAAGAAACAGCCTACATCTCTATCAGCATCCTACTTACCTACCAACCTGAGAATTCACGAAGCTACATTGAGTAATTTAAAGAGATAGGAATAGCAAAACGTAAATAAATCAAGGGCTCACCAGTAAATTACCCTAGCGGGCCAGTATGCACCTGCATTTAAAACACTACATCATACACAATAGTGCCCTGGGTACCATGGGTGTGTATACATATACCCATGGTGTATGTATATACGGATATTAGCAAGTAACAAGTAGCTATACTTACTTTTTTGTATTGCGAAATGTTTTGGTAAAAATTTATAACTGGGAAAGGAGTTTTGGAATGCACTCTGTTTAATATTATCTGACAATTGCAATAATTTCTGTTTTTCTCAATTTACGTTTTTTAGTAATAATTACTCACTATATAGAGCCTTGCACTATGATTCTTATATTTTATATATTTTTTGAACTAAATACCAATAAAACTTTTTTTTCAAACAAATCTAGGATAGCTATTTTATACATTTTATTATTGAAATAAAATGTTGATGACACAAATGTTAACTAATGATGAATTAAAATTGTAATTTTTCATGGAAAAATTGTTTAATAATGTTGAATAATTATTAGTGATGTCAATGAAAACAATTTAAATTATCATTAGTAGTAAACATTCGTCACAACAAAATTGTTCAAAATAAATGTGTAAAATAGCTAATTTGTACATTGTAAAAAAAATAAATTTAACTATTAGTTAAAAATAAAATAGATATAAGATTTATAGCGTACAAGGTTCCAGTATTTATTACACATAAAAATTTAAAACATTAAACAGATCAAAAATTATTACATTTGTCATAGTTTCCTAGTTGTTTATTACCCTGTATACGTTTTACATATATTATTTTGATTCTTTAAATATTAGCAATATAATATGTTTACTTTTACAATAATATTAAATTTGTTAGTTATTATAAGTAATGAAAAAATAGTGTTAATATTTTATAGGTACCTATCCAATATATATCAAAGAAAATATTAAATTTACAAAATTGGTAAATAGTTTTGTTAATATTCAATCAATACAGATCTGTTTTTAACTTTGTTTTTAAATAACTACAAAATAATTTGATGTGTTCTTATAATATTGTTAATCTAACATACCTAATGTGGCAATTTAAACAATTTGAAATTTAATAATAAAATTTATATAGGTTTTAAGGTTTTTTAAACTATTAAACTAATAGTTAAAATATACTATACATTTAGGAAATGTATTTAGATGAAGTTTGTTTTTGTTTATAATAAACACTTGCTAATACTATGCTCGTACTTAAAGAAGTATTGAGGCAAAAATTTGTGAGCAACATTTTGTCAGCTGAATCCATCATTATTGTGTATATTCTAGCTGAAAAAACATCAATTGATAACATTAAAATCAAGGATTTTAATTATATAATAATATTAATATTAAGTAACCATTATAGATTAAATATTTGACTTTATTTATTTGATTTTTTTCAATTTTATTGGTAGTAAAATAAGATTTAATAAGTAGGAATACATTAAAGTTATATTAAATTATTAATTTTGATTCCTAAATTATTTTAACATATTCACATTCATTATTTATACACTATTTAAACATAGTATATCTATTTAAGTTTCTCTTATTTGCAAGATAAGGTATCTACCTCGCTAATGTTATGAAGGTTGATTTTTAAATGACATTTTTAACAGCAATAAACTAAATTTATAAATCACAAAGCCTAAAATACTGTGTCCCCTGAATTACAAAAATGTGTCCATAATTGTATAACTTATTTTTAGTTTTAATTGTAGAAATAACAAACATATTGGAATTTGAACACAAATGTATTATAATTTTTTATTTCAGTATAATTTGATAACAGTTTCTTTGTTATTTTAAAGAAATATTATAAACTTTAACCACAGTCACGATTGTAGATATTATATATCCATGAACTTTTAGTTGTATTTATTTTGAGTGGCATAAATGCAGTTTAGCTATTAAGCTATTTTTGAAAATGTGTGTTTTGCATGCTTAATTTGATGGTATTTTCAAAAAAAGTCATTCAAACTTCATTTGGAAGTTATGGTCAAAAAACTTCAAAATGCACAATTTTTCTAAAAATCGTGTTTTTGAGTTAAAAATTTATATTTTTTGGAATTTTTTTTAGAAATGGTAGTAACTATATTTTTTATATTTTGTTGAAATATACCCATCGTACTTACTTGTTATTTTATTGTTAATAAACCATGTAAAACCTAACTATAATGTTTTTTCAATCATTTCCATATTAAAGTAAATTAAAATTTATTTTTTTTTATTCAGTGTGTAATAACATTAAGAAGTTTTTGGTAAAATTAGAACTAATATTTTTTTGATATTTATGAGCTATTTTAGCGAAAAAGGTAAGGGGTTATTTCTTTGGCAGTAATTGAAAAATTGCAGTCTTGGATGCTAACTGACAAACATAACACATTAAAATGCATTTCTGGACATCCACTCAAAGTCTCAAGTTATGTTTGAAAGTTCATTGCATTGACAAATACGTATGGAGATGTCGAAATTATTTCTAATAAAATAGTATTAAATAAACTATATTATTCCAAAGGTAAAATGTGATGTTTATGTTTCTGTTTCTTATGGATACATATCCATGAGAAAAGATACATTATCCACTACAAAAAATATTAGTTCTGATTTCACTAAAAACTTCTTTGTTATTACACACTGAATGAAAAAAAAAGTCCAAAATATCAATTCTGATTTACTTTAATAGAGAAATGATTGAAATAACATTATAATTAAGTTTTAAGTGGTTTATTTACAATAACATAAAAAGTAGATACGATAGCTGAATTCTGATTTCACAAAAATTATAAGCATATAAATACTACCATTTCTAGAAAAAATTCCAAAAATTTAAATTTTTGTTATTTTAAACTCAAGAACATGATTTTTAGAAAAATCGAGCATTTTGAAGATTTTTGACCATAACTTCCAAATGAAGTTTGAGCGAATTTTTTGAAAATACCATCAAATTAAGCATATAAAAACACATTTTTGAAAAATAATTCCAAAAAATTGTTTGGAAGCTAAACTGCATTTGATCCAGAATTTTGGGCCCTACAACCCCCACTGGTTTTTTTTTTTTTTTTGGTATGGGAATCTGTTAAAGGTAACAATTGAATTAAAAAGTGTTTCCCCTGAAATCAGATGTATTTTAGGCCCTGATAAATCATAATAACTTCTTTGCATACATTGGTGAAACTATACATTAAAATTAATTATTTATATTTATTTTCATAAGAATAGATTATGTATAAAATATTTATAATTTTTTAATTATTTATTTATGAATTATGATGTCATGATTTTTACTTAATTTAACACAGTTAAAATTATTTATTTATTTTTATTAATATTTATTAAGTGTATGTAATGCACATTATAGTTTACTTTTGTAGTAAAAATAATATTTTTTACAGAAAAGTAATTTTACCTCCATTTGTGTATGCTGAAATTAACCAAGTAGTCAAGCTTATGCTATCAGCATTTTTAAATTTCATTATAGTGTACAACTGTAAACCTTTACTTGATAATGATATTGGAGTACCAAATGGCTAAAATAACAAAATAAATTATATTCAATAACTTTAAACTGTTGACACTAATTTAAATGGTAAAAAATATACATACTACTAAAATAGTAAGTATACTAGAAGGAATAAGTCCATAAACAAATGCAGTGAATATTCCAATATATAATGCACTTAAAATCAAAACCTGGACATTTAGACGATTATTGTAAAACAGTACAGTACCAATGAGAATATATTGCTGAATAAGTATTATTGGATATTCCAAGTATGACATCAATGAATAATTGTTGGTATAGTTGTAACAAGTTGTTGTACTTAAACTGAAAAATGTGTACATAAACATGTTTACTAAGTATTGCTGTTAGTAAAAAAAATACATTTGTATTAACTATATAATACTTGTTAAAGTAAATATTTTAAATATTAATTAACTTTATAGTTAAATAATTGAACTGATCGGGTATCTCATAGTCCAAGTGTTGCCACAAACAGTAACACATAAAAAATTTGATGGGTGGTTTGATAACATGATTTATTGGTACCTAATAAAATTTAAAACATGATGGGGTTGATTTATCTTTTAGTTTTTTTTATATATTGTGTAGTTTTCTAATATCAATTATATTATATCAAATAATATTTATTTATTGATATGACTATATCATATCATATTAAAGTTGGTGAAAGTTTCTTCAGAAATATCCTCAATATATGTATTTGAGAAGAGCAGCTACTAAACCCAATTAGATTCCAGTTTTTATGAATTATTAAAAAAAAATTAAGTTAATTTTATTTTAAATGTATATAATTTAAGATCTAACTTGTTTTAAATTATTAAAGACAATTTTTCTTTCAGATACAATTTTTTTCAGTGGATCTCTACATACATATTTTGATACATGATCAGGTCTCATTTATTACAAAATTTCTGCTAAAAGCTAGGTACAATATTACAAGTAAATTACTGGACATAAAAGACATATACTGGATATATATTACTGGACATAAAAGACATATATTGTACATATATTACTGGACATCAAAGAATGTGTCACACAGTTAAAAGGTCATATAAATCAACTTATTACAAGTAGAGAAAATAGTAGAAAAATATCAGGAATACATTGAAAAATGTGAAATATTTCTATATTTACAAATAACAGTACATAAACTTAAAATATATGCTGAATCAATTGATGATTTAATTTTAGAAAAATTTAACTAGCCTCAAAGCAAAATTCTTAAACATAGACCTTGCATAGGTTTAGACAAGCTATATGTTACACATATTAACAGTATGTATAGTTGTATAAATAATGATGGTAGTCTTGAATGTTCCATCTTAGTGTATAACTAAATATTTTTTATTGAATCGACTTGTAATATAGTACCTAGTCTTTTATGTAGACATTTTGCAGTAGGTTATTAATTGTAATTAGTCCAAATAATGTAGATCTTATACAAAAAATTGGACCTTCTAATCTGGAAACTATATTTATTAAAAGTGTAAAATAATTTACCATTTATGCATATATAATATATTAACATATTAGTACAAGTATAAGTAATCTATATATGAAGTGTAAACTGCATACTAAAAATATGTTTGTATAATTTTACTTGATTAAATCCAGAAGTAAAGAAGTTAAACTGATACCGCCTGTTTGCTTTTGATTGTAAATCCGAATTATTTGCGGAGCCTTCATGATTACACTCAAAATGATTGTGGTAATGCTTAATAAATTAGATATCATGGTTTACTTGATATTTTATAATATATATATATATATATAAATATATATATATGTATATATATATAAATATATATATATGTATATATATATATAAATCAAATATATGTATAGTAAATTATATAATATATTATATTTGGTTTTGATTTAATTCCCTATCTGAAAATAAAACAAATTACCTAATTATAATAGTAACAACAATTATTAATGTTAATAAAAATGAACTTTGTAGTACCTATAACCATGTGTAAAAAAACTAAAATGCACTATGGAAATTAAACAATTTATAGGGTTATAAGACACATTAAATAATTGTCAACACATTTTTTAACAGAATCTTTTTTTTTTAAATATTTTATTATAAGGAATTTTACCCTTGAATGAAAATAATTAAAATTCGTCAAATTACAATATGTGTTAACAATTTAAGTTCGCGTTTTGTTCTCTGATTGACTGTGATCTTTCTTCATGGAACGAAGAGACGAATTGTTCCTTGAAGTTGACCGACCTTTTCGTTTTCTACTCCAAAGTTCATGACAATCTTGCCAAGTAGGTAATGAAATACAGGTACTGGTGTCAATTTGTGCTAACCATGGACATTTTAATGCTTCCTCTGCAGTGATACGCTTATTTGGATCAAGAGTTAACATTTCGTCTAAAAGTTTCAAAGCATCATTTCCAATAAATTTATATTCATTAGCAAGTTTTCGACAGTGCAGTTTTTTTTGGCTTATAAACTTCCAGAAAGGTAGCTTGATAACATCTGGCCAGTTTGCTGGACAAGGACTACCACAAAGCTGTGATATTAATTCTAATTGATCAAATTCATCTTTGCCATGAAACATATTTTTCTTGACGAAAAGTTCCCCTGTAACATAATAAATAAATTTTGGTTATTACTGTTGTTTAGTTTATTATATTCAAACTTACCTAAAATACACCCACATGACCAGATATCTACAGAGGGGCCGTATCTCTCTTCTCCTAGCAATAGTTCTGGTGGTCTGTATCGTAAAGTAACTACTTTATTTGTGTACAAACGAACTTGTTCATTATCAAATAGCCGTGCAAGTCCTAAATCAGCCAATTTCAGTTCCCCTCTATTGTTTAGTAGTATATTACTACATTTTATGTCTCTGTGTATAAAATTTTGTTTGTGACAATAATTCAAACCTTCTAGTAATTGACGCATTATAATAGCATTATCTTTAACTGTGAAATTAACCATGCCCGATTCTATTAAACCAGTAAGATCATGATCCATGTACTCAAATACAAGATAAAATGAACCTCCACCTTTTTTGAACTCTAAAATGTCTTCTTTGTCGGTAACAACTTCTTTTAAACGTACTATATTTTTATGATTAAGCTGTCTTAAAATTTTAATTTCTCTAATAGCTGTTATGGGAAAGCCTTCAGATTCATTTTCTAATCTCACTTTCTTCAATGCTACAAAATGATTGGTTTTTTTTTCTTTGGCTTTGTATACTTGGCCATAAGAACCTTCACCAATCTGTGAAATAATTTCAAATAGTTCAATATTGCGAAGACCGGTTCTTGTGAGGTTAAAATCAGTAATTGATCTTGATTTATTTAAAACGATAGGTCTTTTTAAAATAGGACTTTTAGCTCGTTGTCTGAATGAATGAAATATGTCCGTTAAATTAATATTCATTGGAAGACAGTCTGACAAAAATGAATCATGATTTTCAACTAATGCAGTATTTTCTATATGTTTTGCTTTTTTGATTAGTGGCAAATCGCTTGGTAATGGTATATTTTCGATACCATTTTCCGTTGCCATCTGTTTTGAAAAATATATTAATAATCTGACTAGTTATTCTATTTATTAAGGTGGTTTGGCAAAGTTTTAATGTCAAGGAACTTGGATGATTAACGATATTATGTCGCAGATGATATAGAATGTCTTCCATCGACTTAGAAATAGACAAGAGACGTTGATTGACTTGAGAATACTTTATTGTAGACTGTTCTACTTTTTGTTCTGTATCAAATTCTGATAGCATATCAAATATTTAACATTCATTTGATACATGGAATTCTGAAAAAAATGGTTCACATTGTTTTGTTTTGTAAAAAAAAAATATAGGAACATTTTTAAATTGTAAGGTTGTATACATAAATAATTGGCAAAGACTTGGTACAGAAAATAACCAATATTATTTGTACAAAATTGTTACTTAATAGGTAGTAACTTCAGGATAAGTAGTACCATGAATATCTACTCTATAAGTAGATAGCTGTAGGTAGTACCTATCCTTGATAATTGGAAATATAATATATTTTACAGGTTTGACAATGTACACTACTAATTAATTTACATATTATAGCAAAATCTAACATTTTGAAATTCAATATAAAATAACAAAATCGTAAATTAAACATATTATTTAAGTATTATTCTTAATAATTACTAGGTACAAAAGTACCTATCATCTACTTTATTTTCTATCCTAGTATGTAATTTGACAAATTTTAATTAAATTAATTATCTAATTCAAATTTAACCTTTGAAAAAGTGCATATGAAATTATTTAAGTTCAATGTAAAAATATTTGTCTAAACATTAAGAAAATTAATGTACTTATTTAATATTGTTCAGTAAATAGGCATTATCCAAATGATAGTTGCAGAGGCGTCATTTCAATATTTGCTAGGGTAGGGCATAATAATGACAGGCCCAACTAATATAAAACTAGATTTTTTTTTTTGTATTGTTTTATAAGCCATTGAAGCCTTTTGTAGTTTTTATTAAATTCCTCCATTTATAGTTTTGAGTTTTGGATTCTGTCTACCATTTTGGATTCTGAGCAGAGCGAGGAATATTTGGTTTTACAGTGATGTTTATTTTTTTACTTTATTACTTTAGAGAGGTCATTTTTTTGATTTTCCTGATAGTTTTCACACTAGATGGGAAGAAACATGAAAAACCAGTAAAATGTACGAAATGTATTAGAAAAAAATTACAGCCCTTTTTTTTCCTGTAAACAACTTTTCTATCAACAATTTTGCTATAATTTACAATGATAGCACTTTTTCTGAAAGGAAACCTGACTGGGGTGATACTAAAGAAGGTAATTTTTTGGTTTTTCCAAGAGTTTCTCCAATAAATGGATAAAACAAATGGGAAACACCAGGAAAGAACATAGGAAAAACGAGAAATTGATACAATATTAAATAAATATTATTAAAGAAAATGTATAATACATATGGAATTATTTTACCATAATATGATAAATATATTGTTGACAAAGCAACACTATTAACCAAACTCTGCTCAGAATTGTTTTTCATTATCAATGGTTAATCGTTGCGTACAGATATATATTAAATTTCCCCTCTACCTTTCCTACTTCTCATTTACAACATTGGACCACTCACGTGAAAAGTATGTTAGTATTTTTATATCAACATTTACTCTATTAGCTATCTCGCCATCGTTACTGAGGTCTTCCCCTAAGATGTTTGCCAGTTGGTTTGTTAATTAGTATTTTTGGAATTATGCTCTCTTCAACTCGCTATACATAACCCACCTATTCTAGACACTTAGCTTTCAGAAAACATTTAATATATGGTTTATTACATAAAGATTCCAATATTGTGTTTTTTCTCATTTCATAGTTCCCAGTTGATTCATTTTTCACATATTCGTATATTTTTCTTAGTACCTTCCCCTCAAATATAATCTCATCTCCTTGAATTTTCTACTACATCTCATAAGCATATTATGTCACTATTGGATGTAAGTAAACTTTTTTTTAGTAAACTAGGTACCTTTTTTGCTTATATCACCCGTGTCTAAAAACTAAGACCTCCTTCGATCGTTAAGACTCCTAACTATAATTGAACACTTGTTTACAATTTGTATCAAGCAAACTCTATCAGCTTTTGTTAATATATAAGTTATTCAAATATAAATAATCTTAGCTTAATTTTACATATAACCTTCAATTAACTTTACACTGAACCTCTCATAACACTTGAAAATATAAAAAAAGTTTCTTCTACTTGTCTTATCATAAATTACTGCTCGTAATAGCTCTAAAGTTAGTCTATGTTAATCTGGTAGCCGACCCATGTTAACCTGATAGCCGACTCAAAGCTACTTTAATATCTAGGGTTGGGTAAATGCATACTCCTACCTCCGCCCCCAAATGACGCCCCTGGATAGTTGTCGTGACTAGATATTTTTTTCTCCATCACATTAAAAAAAAACATTTGTTGTAATTGGATTTAACATAAATCTATGTCAGAAAAGTACAATTATTGTTTTTAAATATATTAAGAAGCAAGAACAATTGATTAATATGGAAGGATTTGTGGCATTTGTGTATATTAAATATTATCTAAGCTGGTAGTAAACATACAAAACAGTCAAAAACAGTAATGATGAAGAATAATATTAATAATTCAAGATCACTGATTAGGAAAATTTGTACACCATAGGTTAAACATACGAGTTATTTATTCAATTAGCTTGCCATATGAAATTCATAGCTTGGATCAAGAATTAATTTTATATGAAATACCTCAGTCAATTACCAATTAATTGCAATTTATGATTTAAAAATAGATTTAGACAGGATTGAATCAAAATTATTATTGGTACTCACTCGACAATTCTTAAATGACGAAATACAACACGTTTAAACAATTATGATCACTGATTAAGTAAGATAGTGATAAAAACTTAATGAATATTAAACGATTAAACAAAATAGCAACAACTAACAAAAAACTTATAAAAGTTTAAGTGAAAAAAAAAGTGATTTGTAAAATTTTGTATTTGATAACAATTGATAATATCATGGCAAAGGAACCATTTTATAGAACGAAAATAATATTATTTAAAACTAAGAAAAAAACGTAATATAAGTAGAACAATAATATTTGGTATTAAATAGTATTTCTGTTTTATAATACTTTAGAAGTTAATTGTGTTTGAAATCAATTTCGTAATGAATTGTACATAATATAATATGCCCTCATAGATACTATTATAAATAAATATAAATTTAATATATAAGATTACCTTAGATAGATACATAGGTCTAGCAAACTTTGTACCTAACTCTTTTTGACCAGATAGAGGATTGTTAAATTTTTGTGCTGCTCTCTAGCAGATAAACTAAACCATATTGTTTTAATACTTCCAAATAATACGCAATCTTACATATTAAGCACGACAAAAATCCACGCGATAAAACTATCAAAATGTATACATAAGTAATTCTGTAACTCGATAAGACCCTCTATCAATAACACATAATGTAACATTTGGTTCGTTGAATATCAGTATAACATTATATATATATTATAATATTCCCGATTGAAAGGAACTATAGGTAGCGCTCTAGTCGACACTAATGATAAGGCTAACGGAGAGATGTGCGCCATAATAGCATTAGAATAATAGTAATTTAGCCAAAATAATCCATTATTACAAGTTTCTTTAAAATTTCCTTATTAAAACTTATTTTGTTTACAATTTGTAGTGATAAAAGTACATAATGTTTAATTTTGTAGTAGAAATCATCGACATAATTCAGTATATTGGTGATTTTAAAAGACTTTTTATCGAAGGTTCAGAAATAATTAAACGCAACCACATTATTGAAATAGATTTAAGAGTAAAAAAGACGTCCTAGAATAATATGTACGGGTACAACCACTGTTATAGGTAATTTAATGTATACCTGTAAGCAATAATAAACCATTGCTAACAAAAAAAGGATTCTGAGCAGAGTTTAAATGATAGTGATGCTTTGTCAACAATATATATATACGTCATATTATAGCAAAATAATTAAAAAGGCTTTATATATTTTCTTTAATAATATTTGTTTAATACTATACCGATTTTCTAGTTTTTCCATGTTTTTTCTCGGTTTTTCACATTTGCTGGGAATACTGGGAAAATCGAAAAATGACCTCTTTAAAATACCTACCTTCCTAGTTAAATTTCTTTTTAAAAAAAGTGTTATCATTGTAAATCGGATCTATGCAAAATTACTAGTAGATGATTTGTGCATAGAAACAAAATATTATATATATTATTTATGTAAGTTCAGTATAAGTTTGTATTTAATTTATGCACTTTTATTATCCATTTAGCTAGAATAATAATATGGTCATTCATAATATCAACAAATAAAGCTATATTTATGATTATTACAAAGAAATTCAGAAGTCAGTACTCAGTACTCAATGTCTCAATATAATATTACAACGTAATCAAACATACATTTTTCTAGTTGGAGCAGCTTTAATAAATTCTACCAGGTAGCGACTCTTTCGTGATGCTATGTTATATATTATGAATATACATAATCAATAAATATTTGATCGTGTGAACAGGAAAAACAAACATGGTTAATATCTGATAAGAAGTGAAGTTTCCATCACGATCACGATTAAAAATATACTGGTTGCCCAACGGAGGGAGGAGCATGGGCTATAGACGTATTTTGGCGATGCAATTTTCAGTAAAGAGTACTGCATTGTTTGCTGTTGTTTGTTACTTGGTCGGTTACTCGCCAAAACGTTTTGTATAGTGTATAATATTTTATGTTATGTAAAATGGATGGAATGATAGAATGAGAGTCCTTATCAGTAGATTATTAGTAATTGAAAACAGTAAACGTAGTTTTCATTTGTTTGCTGATTCCGGCAATCTGGTCGTCGAAAAGTGCATTCGGCTATCAATTACAGTAAACTATGGGTAAACATTTATATAAAACGTAGTCTAAACAGCGTGGTCGTATTCTGCAAATAATAATAATTGATTATAAGGTGAAAATATGGTCAAACAGTTATCACCACGAATTAAGATATATATCTTAAATTCACTTATTTTGGTGTATCTATTATCATTTGATTAGCTTGTGAGTGTTTACTACACTTCCTCGATGGGATTAACGTTTGTGAGCGCGGATCGATGACGTAGCGCTCAGATTCTGTGACGTTACGGTTGTAGCCTGAGCACTATCAAACATCAAACCGAACGGTGCGGTGGCGCTGATAAGCATTTAAGCGAGCTACACGAACGCGCTCTATGTCAACATAAGAGTTTGTTCACTAAACAACTGACTACAGTACATTTCACGTAACTAACGAATTCGCAGTGGCATTTCAATTTAAAAATGACGCGGCAATCAACCATCGAACAGCTGGCCCTGTTGATATGAATTTTATCTTCCACTGCCAAACATTTTATAACCACCATATAGGTACCATAGATACTCCATGATAAACACATAGTCGCATGGTGGCATATAAATGTTAAAATGTGTTATAATTACTGTAAATATTAATGTTAAAATATCAAAAGAAAATGTATATTTTAATATATTATAATAAATAATATAATGTATAATAAAATATATTATACAATAAATAAAATAATTATTTTTTTTCATATTTTTTGAATTTTTTCCGCGCCACTGGGGAGTCGCTAGTTTCGTGAAACGTACTGTAAACTATACTCTATCCTATGCGAAAGCATGACGCGCGATAACGAAAATTGGTCGGCTCTAAGCATACCCATTGTTGTCGGGGATGGAATTTGAAGCATAGAGGGGATACGATGGCTCGGTCGACGGACGATGCGCAGTTCCAGCACGCTCTCTCGTGGGACGGAATATAGTAATCAGGTTGCCCAAAACTGCATCGCCAAAACACGTTTTATGAAATTGTGACTACAATATTACTCGGATGATAAAACAATTCTGTAGCGCTCGTAGACCGCAGTGGAATATTTATGTACTATATTATATTGCTATCGTAATTCGCAAAATATGTTTGTGAATGTGAAATTTTGAGTCATTAGTGATTACGATTATATTTATGACTAAAACTTCGGTCACAACCAAGGATGGATCCAGTGGGAGGGGTCTTAAGGGCCCAGGCCCCCTTCAGATATATTATTTCTCCGATTTTTTTTTTTTTAAAATTCTATAGATATTACTATATTCCAATCACTGATATGTATACTTAATGCATTATATTATATTTTAATTGTATTTGTGTTGTAAAAAAATATAAAGATAAAATTAGAAAAACCCAGATCTTTGCTCTGGATCCATGTCTGTTCACAACTAACAAACTAAAGCATAAAATTAATACAATAAATATGTATTTTAAATTATTTTATTTTATTCAAAATAATCATTACTATTAATACTGGTGATGTAGGTATGTGTAATCTCGAGGAACTTAGACTTAATTGAAACTGCGCCTCCATTAAGCTTTGGACGCTTTAAACAAATTCAGAATATTTAGCTTTGTTATTGTAAAATTAAAGAAAATCCAATTTTCTGTGATCAATACAAAATAATAAACGAATAAAATAATTATTGTATATTTGCTGATTCTTTGTCCAGATATCCATGTGTTTAAAATGATATTGACATATTCTAGACTTTTCTTCTAATAATAACACCTAAAGCTTTCTCCCAATCAACCTTTTTAAAGGGATTTTCTTTGGTACCTCAAACGTACTGGTTTTTAAACCTTTATAAGAGCAGACAGATAAACAAAATGACATGATTTTTCTTGTAACTCACAATACCTAGTATAATGTAAAAATACTTTTGAACGTGTATAAATTATTTTTTTTAAAACACAATTAGGTTGTATCCTTATTCGTGATCATATGGGTTTTGTGCTTTTAAATAAAGCAGGAATATAATAATTTCACACATTGTAATATAACATTATTTTCACGGACAGAGAGCGCACTAAGTTAGTTAAGTAGCTGTTCTCGAGAGCAATTGTAATATAGCCTGTTGGTCAACTGATACATCTTTAATCGTGGTTTCTCCTTTTATCTTAATGTTCCCATCGCGATCATTCCCCTGTTTCATATTCTCATCAAACTATCACAAAATAACCTATCATAACATTTATGATTGAATTATTTTCTACATTATTTTTTTCTTTACATCACGATTTACATAATAATATATATCGGTAAAATCAAACGAATCTCTAGTTTATGTACCTACTATATTATATCACTATCGCAATTCAGTAAATATGTTAATGAATGTGAAATATTGTAATATAATGTTATTTTCAAGGACAGAGAGCGTTCCTGTGATCAATTTCAATTGCTATGTGTTATCCGCTTATGATATGGGCATAGCCCGTTCAGCAACCAGTATAATATCTTTGATCGTGCTCATAAGCCTCAAATGGTGCTAATTTGTTATTATTAACGTTATTTAGATACGTTATTATTTGCAATCACTTAAGTATTACATTTTTCCATTTGTAAATTTCTATTTAAGAACCTGTAAAAAATACAAATATATTCATATTTTAATAAAATATTTGTTTTAGTTCCTGACCAAATCCAAAAGTACAAATTATCAAATTCACAAAATTTTAAATTTAAAAATATATAATTAATTTACTTACTTACCTATATTTGATTATTATTCTTCATACCAATACATATAAGAATACTAAGTCAGCTTCATACAAACAATTTTTAAGATCATTTCTTCCAAATACTGGATAAAAGTTATAATAATGTGTTTTAGTTTTGTAAATATGAATAAAGCTTTCGTTCTAAACATTCACAGGACATAAAAAAGAAATCGACATCATACAAATTTGATTACACAACAAATGTATTTTTGGAGAAAAATAATTTGAGCAAAATTTTTTTTAAAAATAAGGTACAAAGTTAAATTTGAATTTCTAATCGAATAATTTATGTTTAATAGAGGGTCCGTTATAGAGAGGTTTTACTGTAATTTAATTATTTAATATCATGTTTTAAGAAA